TTTTGAAAGTAGAAGCAAGCGCATATATATTCATGTTCTGAATAGTCAGTTTCTTAATTAACTGTAAAATTCTTCCTCGTACAAATCTTTCTTTATGGTAAAATAATGTTTAAAAGCAAAACTGAAAATATATTTTCCCTAAATTACTAATTATTCATAAAATACAATATTCACACAATGTTTTGCTAACATTTGCTGGATAACAGTTCAATCTAATAATAATAACAACAATAATAATAATAGTAATAGTATGAGTTTCGGTCATATGTTGACAGTTTTGAAGACCTTAGATCTCTGGGTTAATATGTCAAACTAAGAAAGAATTTTTCATGTAGCTATTAAAAGGAATACCTTATTAACAAACCAACGTATTCATAGTCTTGAAATTTAAAAACTTTAAAAAATGTTAACTGTTAAAATTTTCTTCAGCTTTTTTCAGAGAATGAAAAAGAAAAATCAAATAAAAACTCACAATATATCTATCATTTAAATAACTAATTTTCACTACATAAATATATAAAATAATAGTTACTGACTAAATTTACACATGAACAACTTTTTACCGATTTGTGAGATTGGAAAATAAACATCAAAGCGAATCAACCAATACATGATAATTTGAACCAAAAATGTTTTACGGCCAAAAATTAAAACAAAAAAGTTGGACCCAAATCGCAACACGTTAGACTTGAATCAGTATAAGCATTATAAAAATCAGTATAAGCATTATAAAAATCAGTATAAGCATTATAAAAATCAGTATAAGCATTATAAAAATTAGCAGAAGCATTATAAAGGCAAAACAAAACCCAAACAACAGAACACTTTGGAAGTCTGTACAAAAATACATCTTCCTGTGCATTTCTTAAAATACGTCAACATGTTTTTCATGTAAGACTATTATTTACCCAGACTGAAATATTATTATTATTATTATTGTTATTATTATTATTATTATTATTATTATTATTATTATTATTATTATTATCTTTATTAATAATAATTTCATGTAAGGCTATTATTTACCCACATTGAATGAGGAGTACTTTTATTTTTAAAATTTATCCAACGTGTAAAAAATCATCCATATTACTTTTTGCACTAATCATTTTTAATTTAATCATTTCAAAAAGTAAAAAACAAAACGAAACCTAAAAAATAGAGATTTATCGTGAATATAACAACAAAATCAACCAGATTTTTTTATTCTCGCGTCTTTAGGAACGAAAAAGAACAAAACATCTAGATAGATTTTCCAGTTACGTGAAATCAGTTTTTGCCTAACAATAACACCTCATTAATCCTATATTTCTTACCGATAGATCGATAAATATTAAGAAAAGGTCGTTTTCAGTTTCCCCACCTCTGATAAAAAAAACAACAAAAAACAAAACTGCCAAATAAAACAATACCTACTTACCTTTTCAATAGAATACGAAGAATTCCATCGAATCGTATTTTTCAGGAAATTAATTCTGTTTTATATATTTTTTTAATGTCTGGGGTCTGGGGTAAGTCTATAAAAACAGGGTGACATAAACTAAGGATGTTAATAAAAATTGTGAAAGTGATAGTCTGAAAAAAGTTATTTGTCCACAGGTTTGAAATTTGAATACCTGTCTGGTAGCGATACTAAAAGAAATCCCAAATAACTGAGAAAAGTGAAAGGCTCTAATCCAGGTGTCGTATTTATCAGAGATTAATTGAAAACATAGGTCTGTGACTATGATCACTTGCCTCGAGTTTGACAAAGTCACTTGAATTTGTTTTCCAGAATCCAGAAATACAAGACTTCGAGGCGCGAATTTACAAGAATTTATAAGTGCTTGTACGCGGCATATCTTTCGGACACGCTGTCGGTATATAAAATTTATGTTTTTATCCCAAAATAAAAAAAAACAAAAAATGAATGTGTAAATTATCAGTTATCTGAATAAGATCAATTTAAATCGTCGTCGTCGTTTGCACTGATTTCATATATTCTACTGACTGATGTCTTTTCTTTTTAACAGTATCGGAGTCTTTTACATTTTGTTAGTATCACGATCTCGGCTTCTAGCAGTTTGTGTTCTGTCCAAGATCCAAGACTGGTGTAAGCCGATGTCTGTGTGTGCGTTAAACAACAGTTCCAATCGAGGAGCGTCAATGTGTGCGGTCGTATGTACATGACTGAATCTTTCTATTACCATATCAGTGTATAGGCATGGCTTTCTGTAATATGTATGCGTGGGTGTGGTTTAAAATAATGGTACCAGAAGAATTATTGATGTTTTTTTTTTTTTTTACTGATTAGTTTAACGCTTGTGCAGATTTTAAAAACATTTAGGAACTGTCTCCATTTGGTTTTTGTAGAAATAATATTTATTTGTTTATGTTTTTATATAATATTTACGCGGTTGAAAATTTTGGAGCATTTTTTGTTGTAGAAAAGAAAAACGATTGGTCTGGGAAGTTACGAAAGAAAAAGATTATTAACAAGCAGAACAGACAAAAAGGAGGATTAGAAAGAAAAGAAAGAAAGAAAGAAAGAAAGAAAGAAAGAAAGAAAGAAAGAAAGAAAGAAAAGAGAAATAAAGAAAGTAAAAGAAAGAAAAGAGAAAGAAAGAAAGAAAGAAAGAAAAGAGAAAGAAAGAAAGAAAAAGAAAGAAAGAAAGAGAAAGAAAAGAGAAAGAAAGAAAGTAAAAGAAAGAAAGAAAGAAAGAAAAAGAAAGAAAAGAGAAAGAAAGAAAAGAGAAAGAAAAGAGAAAGAAAGAAAGAGAAAGAAAGTAAAAAGAAAGAAAAGAGAAAGAAAGTAAAAGAAAGAAAAAGAAAGAGAAAGAAAAAGAAAGAAAAGAGAAAGAAAGAAAAAAGAAATTAAGAAGAATGAAAGAAAAAGAAAATGAAAAAGAAAGGAAGAAAAAAGGAAAAAATAATAAATAAACAAATAAATAAATAAAAGATTATTAGCATGTAAAAGAAAGAAAAAGAAGGAAAAGAATCGGTAAAAGTTTATTAACATGAAATAAATTAAAAAAAGAAAATGTAATAAGAAGGGAAGTAAAACGAACGAAAGAAAAGATTACTAGCAAAAAGAAAACGATTAATAAAACATTATTTTCAAGATGAAGCAAAGAAAGAAAGAAAGAAAGAAAGAAAGAAAGAAATTATCATTAGCAAGAAAAAAGAAAAGTTTATTAACGTGAATGAAAAAAGAAAACGAGAGAAACAGAAAAGATTGTGAACAAGAAAGAAAAAAGATTGAAATTGTCATTAAAAAGAAGGAAAGAAAGAAAGAAAGAAAGAAAGAAAGAAAGAAAGAAAAAACAGAAAATTTATTTACAAAAAACTGACAAAAATTATTACAAAAAACAAACCAAAAAGAAAGGAAGAACAGATTATTGACAAGAAAGAAAAAGACAGAAAAAAATATTAGGAATAAAAAGAAAGAAAGAAAGAGGAAAGGAAAAAGAAAGGAAGAAATAACTATTTACAAGAAATATAGAAAAAAAATGAGGAAACATTGTCACAAGAAAAAAGATTATTAACAATAAGAAAAATAAAGAAAGTCCATTTAAAAAGAAAAAGTATTAAATTTTATTAATCAGAATTAAAGAAAAAAAGAAAAAAGGAAAAAGTATTAAATTTTATTAATCAGAATTAAAAAAAAAAAGAAAAAAGGAAAAAAGTATTAAATTTTATTAATCAGAATTAAAGAAAAAAAAGAAAAAAGGAAAAAGTATTAAATTTTATTAATTAGAATTATTAAAAGAAATAAATAAAATGGAAAGGAATGATTCGTTTTCTACGGCTTTGAAGGTTATTTAAAGCCAGAAAATATTTTTAGATTATAAGATTTTTTTTGGGGGGGGAATAATGGTTTAGTGATACAATACTTTCTAATTAGTCCATAGTTGGTGGGATTGGTGGATTCATACCTTTCCAAATGGTATCTGCGATAAGTGAATATAACGAACAGGAATTGGAATTCAGCTCAAGAAAATGGAAAAAATTGTTGACACGAAAGAAACAAAGAAACAAAAAAGAAAAGAAGAAACAATTATCAACAACAAAGAAAGAAAGAAAATGTTATTAACAAGAAAAGAAAAAAAGAAAGAAAGAATAGATCATAAGGAAGCAAAAAAGGAAAAAGAAAAGGAGAAATGTATAACAAAAGAGAGAGGAAAAAAGAAAAAAAAGTTTATTAACAAAATATAAAAAAGAAACGAACTATTATTAATACGGAAAGAAAAGTGTGGCCATTAGAAAGAGAAAGAAAGAAAGAAATAAAGAAAGAAAGAAAGAACAGGGACAATGGGGTAAATAGATATGACGAATGGTGAAAGAAAGAAAGAAAGAAAGAAAGAAAGAAAGAAAGAAAGAAAGAAAGAAAGAAAAAAAAAAAAGAAAGAAAGAAAAAAAGAAAGAAAGAACAGGGACAATGGGGTCCATATATATGACGAATGGTGGAAAAGAAAGAAAGAAAGAAAGAAAGAAAGAAAGAAAGAAAGAAAGAAAGAACAGGGACAATGGGGTCCATAGATATGACGAATGGTGGAAAAGAAAGAAAGAAAGAAAAAAAAAAGAAAGAAAGAAATAAAGAAAGAAAAAAAGAAAGAAAAAAGAAAGAAAGAACAGGGACAATGGGATCCACAGATATGACGAATGGTGGAAAAGAAAGAAAGAAAGAAAGAAAGAAAGAAAGAAAGAAAGAAAGAAAGAAAGAAAGAAAGAACAGGGACAATGGGGTCCATAGATATGACGAATGGTGGTAAAGAAAGAAAGAAAGAAAGAAAATACAGGGACAATGGGGTAAATAGATATGACGAATGGTGAAAGAAAGAAAGAAATAAAGAAAGAAAAATAGAAAGAAAGAACAGGGACAATGGGGTAAATAGATATGACGAATAGTGGAAAAGAAAGAAAGAAAAAAGAACAGGGACAATGGGATAAATAGATATGACGAATGGTGAAAGAAAGAAAGAAAGAAAGAAAGAAAGAAAGAAAGAAAGAAAGAAAGAAAGAAAGAAAGAACAGGGACAATGGGGTTCATAGATATGACGGATGGTGGAAAGAAAGAAAGAAAGAAAGAAAGAAAGAAAGAAAGAAAGAAAGAAAGAAAGAAAGAACAGGGACAAGGGGGTCCATAGATATGACGAATGGTGAAAAAGAAAGAAAGAAAGAAAAAAGAAAGAAGAACAGGGACAATGGGGTAAATAGATATGACGAATGGCGAAAGAAAGAAAGAAAAAAGAAAGAAAGAACGAACAGGGACAATGGGGTAAATAGATATGACGAATGGTGAAAAAGAAAGAAAAAAGAAAGAAAGGATAATGACGTTGGTAGAAAGATGTAACGAATGATTTAAAATAAATGAAGAATGATGGAAAAGACAAAATAAGGAGTGATGAATGTCAGAAAAGAATTAAATAAAGAAACAATAAAGAAAGAGTAAGAACAATGTGCGCAAAAGGATAAGAAGAATAGGTGAAAGAAAGAAAGAAGGTTATTAATAAGAAAAGAGAAAGAAAAAACGAATAGAGAAAGACTATTTATAGAAAAAGAAATAAAAAAGAAACGAACAGATTATTAACACGGAAGGCAAATTTTAGCCATTAGAAAGAAAAAAAAAAGGATGAAAGAAAGATGAAAAGGTTATTAATAAGGAAAAACCAAAGAAAAGGGAAACGCATAGACAAAAGACTATTACAGAAAAAGAAAGCAAGGAAGGAAGAAAGATAGAAAAGATTAATAACAAGAAAAAAAGAAAAGAAACTGAACAGGAAAGAAGCAAGGAACGAAACCTTTTCTATGCCACGTACAAAAGGGTGAATCATCGCCCATTCCTTTCGTATTCTAATAGTAAGAAAAAAGATTCACTGGGATGGTTTCTTTTCAAGGACTGCTACTTTATGGAATAGGCTTCCTGCAGGATTTTTTTTTTTTTTTTACAAATGATTACAATTTTGACCACCTCATGTATACGGCTAACTGTTATCTAAACTGCATAACCACATGAATTTAACTTTTTGCCTTTTCTTACGCTTAGACGCCAACACGCAGTAACCCTCTATCTTGAGTGGTTCTTGGGCCTTGTATTCGGTGTACATTAGTTTAAAAAATGGCTGGATATCTAAACTGAAACTCCGAAAAGGCACACAAATTACGTTTACAGGAAAATGTTTAAAGGAAAGAAATTTCAAAGAAAGAAAGCAAAAGAAAAAAAAAATAACAAGAGACATTTATAGGACATTTTTATAGGACATTTAAAAAAATAGACATTTATAGGAAATAGACATTTATGAAAATCATTTTAAAAGAAATAAAGAAAGAAAAAATATGGCATAAGGAATTTATAGGATATTTTTATAGGACATTTAAAGGAAATAGATATTTATAGGTGTTATGGTCCAAGTTCCTTGTACCACGGTGAAAAAGAAATAACACGAACACAGGTATGGAATACAAAGATATATTACAACAGAAATATAATACAAAGAAGTAGAAGTATTAGTAATGACTATCAGATTTGGTTAGAGTGAACTATGTAGTCTCGACATGTATCACTATTCCAATGTCCTTACAATATGCTCTCAATTATCTCTCCTCGTCTTACAATATACCCTGATACCTCTTGAGAGGCGCAGTATTTATAATGTCAGGAATAGTCCATTCTTATTATGGGTAAGCTCCCATAACAATAGGAAACATACATTTATAGGAATCATTTTAAAAGAAAGGAAAAATATGACGTTTATAGGGCATTTTTGTAAGTTTCTGGACGCGGTTCTGTTCAGGGGTCCTTCTTCAGGGCTAAAACCGCTTTCTCATAGACAAAAGGTCACGTGCCTCTCACAGACAAAAGGTCACGTGCCTCTCACTGCTCTATCGGTATTTCCATGTAAAGTACTAATTACATTTCTTAGTTGCACCAGTTCTCATCTTGACGGCTAAGATCCACAATGCTAGGCACATTGTAGCGAACCAACCTCACTCCTTTCGTAATCCATTGGTAAAATGAAGGTTTCACTCGAGCAGCTTCTTCCCGCGAACATACTGCTCTGTGGAAGCGACTCCCAATAGCATGCATTATCGTTCAACAGAATCTTAACCTACTCAAGTCTAGGATTAACCGTTACCTTCATCACATATCCGCATAAACTGTACTTCTCTACCTGGAGTGGCTCTCGGGCCTTCCTTATACGGAGTAAAAATCACGACATGAACAAGTAAGGAAGCCATGCTTATACAGTACCTATCTATCTTGCTTTCTACAGATAAGCGTATCTGTCTATCTATCTCAGTTTATTAATGATCTATCTACCTAAAATTGGAATTTGAGATAGAAAGATAAGAATAACCCAAGTCGATAGATAATTATGAAGATTTCATTGACTAATTGATTCGTTTTCTACGGTTTATCAACCCTTTACAGGTTATTTAAAGCCAGAAAATAGGAGACAAGTAGATATGATTAAAGGAGACGTTGATAAAGATTTGAAACAGAAAGGCGGATAGACATGTGGAAATTGAGATAGAAAGATAAAAATAACCCAAGTCGATAGATAGATATGAAGATTTCATTGATTGATTGATTCGTTTTCTACGACTTATCAACCCTTTGCAAATTATTTAAATCCAGAAAATATTTTTAGATAGTAAGAATTGGGTGGAGGGAGGCAATAATGGTTTAGTGATCCAAATCTAATTCTAATTAACCCATAACTTGCAGTGACTTAATACCCATTTCTCAAAGACATTTGCGTGTTAGTGAATATAATGAGCCCAACGGAAACTTGAACTCAGTTCTCCGATTAACAATTACGAGACATTATCCATTACACCATCCATACATCCAAACTTACAACACTTTTTATTCCCACCTGGTCCCTCATCAAGATACAGACCAGGCTCGACGTTGCTTAACCTCGGTGATCTTACGGTAACCAGTGTTTCAACCTGATGTGGTCGTAAGCTTGAAACCCAAATGATAAACAATGACTACTACTATTGACTTGTCTCTCTCTATACATATATCTTTCTTTCTCTCGGTACTCTGAACCTTAAAGTGGCTAATTGTGGTTCACCACAGCTTCCTCTTTTTTATTGTTTCCTGCAATCCTTTTGCATTTATGTACCCACTTTTCTTTTTGTGTTACCCACTCAACCAGGTTTATCGCAAACTTTCTTTTGTTTCTTTTGGTGTTTTTGATGCTCAGTGAGTATTAAATTGTCCAAGTCTTCTTCTCTAATTATTCATCGAAATAGCTATTTCGTCCTGGGCATGACGATAAACTATATCCGGCAGCAAGGCCTCTTATGGGGAGATTGGAGGTTTTGAGGGATGTGGAACTACCTTTTAATTGCTGTTGTTCCCACGTCCACCCTAACCCGGGGGTGGTAGAACATGTTAAGCTCCCATCAATAAGCAAATCGTGAACTCCCAAACAAAAATAAGTACATTTCTATAATAAAATGGCCAACAATACATTTCTATAATAAAATGACCAACAATAATTTTTATAGCAAACTGACAATCAATGCAACACTAAAAAAAATATAAAAATACTTTTTATAGTAAAATTACCAACAATACAATTTATTATTTGCATACTATATATCTAAAAAACACACCTTTACACAAATTATAAAATTATGTACAAAGCATATTCATTTGCATTATTTACATTATTCGAACTGTTATCCTCATCTTCATTGCCAAATTCACAACGTTTCAGCCGTTGTACACTTCGGCCTTCTTCAAGTGATTGAAATTTCGAACTGAACCCTTTATTTCGTCCACCAGGGTTCTAGTTCTGCGTGTCATGACTCTTATCCCCTGAAGAAGGTCGGAGCGTATAGCGGCCGAAATGTTATTAATATGGCAATAAAGGTGAGGAAAACAGTCCGAATAATGCAAATAATTCAAGTAATCATAACACCACATCTCAGAGATCTGGACAGATAAAGTATATTCAGTTGAAGCCAGAAAATTGCATTCAAAATATTTAGATTTCGGCATTAAACAGCCCATAGATGTTGATGTGCCGTTAAACAAAATCAACAACAAATCAACAAAAAGGTATTTCTAGTTTATATCTTTTTTTTAGGAGATCACATAACCTGTCCATTGTATTCTCAACATTTATCAGTAAACATCGCTTGAAGTCTTTTCTTCATCTTTGACTCAATTGTCCAGAATTCCTTGCCATAAAGCATATTAAACCTATATAGTAGACCGGTTCTCTTTTTCTTTCTCATGCATTTTAGTTTTTCGATCTCTTATACATTATCCAGTTAATAAAACGCATCGTCCACCATTTCCACACACCTATACGATTTTTCTGGCGCACTTTCCAATTCCTGTTACAATACACCCCAAATAGTTAAATTCTAGCACCTGTTTCATTTTTACGCTTCCGAAGCTTAAATTATTGGGGTTGTCTCTTTTGTTGACAACCACGCATTACGTAAAATATATTCACATCATGAAATAAAAAAAAGTAACTGTTTTTAAATCATTTACACAATGTGTGTTGGTTTTGGAAAAGAGACAGAAAGAAGGAAAGAGGAAAGAGAAAAAAAACGCTACAGTTCACGTAAGAGTCTCTCAAAGTAGAAGGTTACTGAATGGGATTGTTTTATGGACGTAAAAATTGCAAATTAGGAAGATATGTAGAATAGATAACGGTTGTTTCTAGACATAAAGACGTTAAGATTGTAGTGATCGGGTGGCATCGTCTAGGGAGTCTATTCCAGAAAGCAGCGTCTCTTAGGAAGGTACGCCCTTCTTGTCAATGAAATACGAAAGGAATGAGCGTAATTCATGCTTGTGTACATGATTGATCTAAGCTGGGAAGACCTGAACTGGTGGAAATAACTCATTAGAACTTTTGTTCATGGAAATAAGGATAAAGTAGTGATAGGCTTGCTTCGTTTTTTTTCTGTGGAAAAGTAGTTTTAAGTTGGAAAACAATTAATCAATCACAAAACCCTTTTGAAACCTGTCAATGCTGGGAAGTGAGGAATTAGGCAACTCTAGCCTAAATGTGCCAGCAATACTCCATATTTGATCTGCTCTGACTCTTATAAAGATAAAGCATGCCAGGTGATGTCAAGTACTTTTTTGGAGCGGTGTAAAGAGATGGTACTCGGACATTTGGCCGACGAACATTTGGCCGACGGACACTTAACCTAATGGACATTTAACCGAAAATGTAGTGGCGTACTTACATGTGTCTGTCACACTCTTTATCATAATGTGCTACATATACTTATATTTATTTAATGAATTAATCTATAATTTTTCGTTTATTTTTATAGGCTTTTTTTAAAATCTATTCTGTTTATATGATACCTTACTTCAAATATTAATGTAAGATGATAAGTATTTTGAGAAAAAGCACATTTTACTACAGCAAAAATCTTAAGCTTTTACGATATGAAAGTTCTTTCAATTTCGTTTTTAATGATCATTATCTTAAAGGGATGATCTAACTTTTATCTTACTGTTAAATCCGAATTTAAATAATTAGGTGCTACTTTTTACCCAAATACTCTCAAATATTTTTTAAAATACTAATTTCAATAAACAAATATTGATATAAGAAAACTTTTAACTTTAAATTTAAATTTACCATGTGAGCAACGATGAGATCTTTGAGTGGTTGTTAACAAGGAGAAAGCTTATACTTAATATCAGGAAGAGGCAGCTGAAGTTTCTGGGACTCTTAATGAGGAAGGAGGGCCTGGAGAATATGATACTCACTGGTCGAATAGAGAGAAATAATGACAAGGGAAAACAACGCGTGATATATCTGGCGGGCTTAAGCAAGTGGATGACAGAATGTGGTCTGGGAGAGGAATCAGAAGGAAGGAACTTGTTCAGAGCTGCAGGGGATAGAGGGGGTGGAGAGCCATAATCGCCTACGTCCTGAAAAGACATGGCACATAAAAAGAAAGAAAGAATTTAATCACTTGGGATTCAGTGATAATTATTATTCCTATGCTACCTTATAATACTTCTCATTAAGATACTTAACGTATTGCTTGTTACTATTTTTACTTGTACTTTTTCGGTGAAATGTCCGTCGGCCAAATGTCCGTTCGGCCACGTGTCTCTCGGCCAAATTTCCGGCCACGAAGGAGCCGAACCTTTTCCCAGCCTCTTTATCCATGGATCCTACATATGTATGGGTTCCACTTGACTTCTCTGGTTAACTCGAGTCCCAGTAGACGCTTAACGCTTTGGAACCTCTTTGAGAATGGAACCATTCATCGTAACTGGTGTGAAGTCAATGTCAAAATGCTACTAGTTTGGTTTTTGAGGTATTGCAAATTTAGGATGATAAAGATCACAGCCTATGTCATGGTTAAAAATGAGTGAAAAAGCCTTTTGTTCTTACTACATGCCCAATCCATCTCTTCTTCTCTCCAGCTATGGGTTAAATAGTAATACTTGTGTCTGGAAAAAATCATTGTTATCACCAAAGAAATCTTAATGCAAAGTTCACACGTACGTGAAAAAAAAATGAATTATTCTTATTCAATCAATCAATTTTGATGAAATTCTAGATGTAATAGTGAAAGGATAATTTTGTCAAACGCTTTCTTCACCGTCAGTGAACTTGGCGCGATAAAAATTTATTTTTTCCAGTTTTATGGTAACGGAAGATACCGGATAGAGAGATGGGTTTGTCTCTTTCCTGATATTAGTACAGACATACCATATATAATCGCGTATCATGGGACTTTTGAAGACCTAATTTTGAAGCTAATTTTAAGAAGATCTCATTGTACACGTGATATAGAATTAGCGTACGTACTACTGGTCCTGGGTCCGCCGTTGACCAAACTATATATGCATTTACTGTAGACAAAACGTACAGGTGTATTTAAAATAAACATGATTTTGATAAAACTTACGTTTTATTTAACTGTGTCCATTAATAATGCATGTAATATTCACATATTAATATCGTATTATAAAATACAAACATAGCGAGTATGCATCTTTTCCATTGTTTAAGTTTATAAATTGTTTGGCTGTTACTCGTTCGGTTGTTTACGGCTGTACAACATTATGCAGCAAGTATAGCGTTGCTAAAGGTACTTTTATAATTCCCTTTTACTTTTTAAATTATTTAACTAGAAGATGGGGTAAAGTGAAAAAGTTAAAGAGGTTAGTCTGTCGTAATTTAGTCTATCAAAAAAGGAACTCGTATGATACACGAGATACATGATAAAGTCATTTTTATAAGTGAATATTTTGGATCACACAATGCGTGAGATCGCGCGTTACACGAATATATAATATAATTTGATTTATACTATTTACATTATTCGAACTATTGTCCTTATCTTTGTCGCCATATTTATTACAACGTTTAGCCCGTTGTACGCTCCGGTTTTATTAAGGTGATTGGAATGCCAAACTGAACCCTTTATTTCATTCACTGGGGTAGACTGTTCTAGTTCCATCTGCGATGTTTAATGGATGTCATAGTATAGAAATGAATACAATATGGGAACCAGTATTAAGGAGTGCAAGAGAAAAGCGATAATAACAACAAAAATTAAAATATGAGCTAAAAATGTTTGCTGAAGACATTAGGTTTATAATACCCAAAAATTCATACACAGATGTCCTCAAGGGCACATGGCACAGTGGATAAAAAGCGTTGGTTAGATCCAGTGAGATGAGTGTGAGTTCAAAACCTGGTTAAGACTGTGGAGAACTTGAAGAGGAGAATTAACAGGAGATAACTGACGTCCATTAGACATGGCACCTGAAGAAGGCCGGAGTGTACAATGGCCGAAACGTTGTGATGAAGACAATAATCCGAATAATGTAAATAGTGTACATAATACCTCATCTCAGAAATATAAACAGATACTGAAGGAGGCCGAAGCGTACAAGGGCCGAAACGTTGTGATAAATATGGTAACAAAGCAACAAAAATAAGGAAAATAGT